GGGGTGCATTTTTTTAGCATTTTTTTAGGGTTAGGATTAGGGTTTAGAAGCAGGTTTTATAATAAACAAGTATAAGTAGGTTTTAGAGGGGCAAATAGAAGCCCCTCATTTCATTTTAATCCGATTTCATTATGATCTGTGACAATTATTAAGGATGTTTTTTTTTAAAAAAAAGAAATGAGAACTATTACATAAAAGACAGGCTTTAGTTTTTGTGTAATTGTTTTACACATGTCGTTCAGCAATACAGCATTATTATTTTAATATATGTGCCATCTTTTTTTTCTTCTACATTTATACTTTAATAGAAGTCATTATACGAATCAACGTATTCAAAAGTTGGCATATGTTAATTTTAAGATCCACCCTTAAACCTAAATCCAGAATGACAAATTAATTATATGGTTACCGTAAATGTTAGTCCTATAAATTACAAAGTAAACAAATATATATAGATATTATAATAAATAAATAACATTTATAATCTTGTCAAAAAAGATATTTATGTGCATAGTCCATTTCAAATAAGACCGGAAGCCTTGAGATTCATTCTTTGAACAATATCATTTACCGAAGCCACGATAACGCGCATCTGCTTTGTATCCTATTATTTGAATACAATAAGTTATAATTAATGATCATTCATACACTAACACAATAGTGAGAGCTTACCGTAGCATGCGTAAAATGAACGTAAATATGTTTTTCATCATTGTTATTCCGAGACAAAAATTTGCGTTGAAAGAATTTTGAAACACTTTGAAATTTGTTATCCCCTGTTTAAAAAGAAATTTGTATATTATTTATTTTGTTACATGTGACAAAGAAGACATCCAATTTGAATATTGCAAACCTTGATATTCAGGAAAATAGTCTTTAACCTTAACTTTAACATCTTCGAGTTTATGCTTGAGAATATCAATCTTATTAAGAAACAAAATAATGTGGGTGTTTATCATCAATGGGTTATTACAAATTTCCTCAAATAACTGGATAGAATCAACCATGCGATTTATATCAGAATCTTCTAGTGTTTGATCAAATGCTGATATAGCAGCCATGAAAATAATGGCGTTAACATCATCAAAATAAGGACTAGTTTTATATAGAAATTAGAAGAATTAGACAAATTAAACGATAAATTCCAAATTGAAAGATAAGATTTACAAAAATAACTTACGCCCAAAAGTGACGTTGGGAACGATGGCCACCAACATCAAAAATTCTAAAAATTCAGAGATGTCATTAGCAACATTGATTCCAAAACAGACTGAAACACAAGGTGAACACAAGTTCCTTACCTGTATACTACATCAGCTATTTCAAATCTATGCTCAGCAACACCAACTGTTCGTATGCGAGCTTGAAGAATGTCTTCATCAGTCGGTAAATAGTTATCTTTACCAAACCGTTCTACATTATCCAAAAAGCTTGGTAAAATGAAATATCATAAATGTTATATTTCATTATGTAGATGTGTAATTAAGTTATATAAAACAACTTACTATTTTGCGGAATCCTGTAACCCGATTTCACTCGCAGAATTATAACATTGTTTGATAGCAGGGTCATTCCATAAAGCCATAACAGTGTTAATGTTTTCCATGAATAAATCTTGTGAATTATCGTCCAATTGTTGATCCCTGATGGCTGCCTGAACTGTGATAGAATTTCGATTCAACGTATTCTTTATCGTGGTCAGATTGATAATTCTATCTAAATGTTGTTTATTTTCAGGTTTAATAGTATATCCAAGAGTTACAAGAGCATTTGCCAGAGCTTTAATAGCTGTAAGTACGTTAAGGTGAACTATACGGCGGTACCGTTGACGTTCGTCTGAAAGCCCTTTACCATGAATAATTTTTAGTTGCTTAAGAACGGTCGTTTTTCCACTTTCTGAAGAACCTGTGGTATTCATTTTGAATTAGAAATAATATTCAATCGATAGTTTTTCTTTTCTTTTTTTTTTTTTTTAGTCCTGCTAACCTAATAATAATAACTTCGCTGTTTTTTGTTTATCTCTTTCTTCCCTTTCGGCTTTTAACTGTTTATCAATGGCATCACTACGTTTTTTCGCTTGTTTTTCTAAATTTACACGTTTACGTTTTTCTTCTGGAGTTTCGTTGCCCGGTACGTACGGTCTCAAAGGATCGCCCATATCGTTTATACTGGCAGATTGTGTTGATGCCATTGCTTATTTTTTATTACTTTTTTTTTTAATAATTCAAATATTAAAAAATAATTCCACTAGTTTAAAAAAGATAAGTTTAATTACATAAAGTTCTTTCGTGGTATATGTTTATCCATTTAATAATATTCTTCTACATAAATGTCATATTGTTCATGTTCTTCATTAGTGGTTTCCAAAAATGACTCATTTTGTTTCCCCAAAAAAGTTTATATTGTTATAAGATTTACACACACAATTAGTTCCTTTCCGTTTTAGTTTAACACGAATTGACATTTTTTTTTGCTAATTAAATCGTTGTACACATTATTAAATTATGTCTAGAAGCGGTAGTCCACTCGAAAAATTATTATGTTCTTTATTTTCAAATGTATGTTAACTATTAAACAAAAGTTTCATAACATTTATGTATATTATGCAAATGATGGGGAAATGGGTAATAGTATACACGATTTTGATCTCTAATATACTGTATTTTGCTTAATTTTCCTTTTTTGTTTTTGACAAAAAAAAAAAAAAAAAAAAAAGTATATAAATGCGAATAATGAAAAAAAGAAAAAATTTATAAAAAAAAAAAAAAAAAAGAGGCACTAAAGACAAAATTAATTTATAAATATTATGTAAATAAAGGAGAGTACTAGAACCAGCTAGCCCTAAATAAAAGAATGGCTAAAAATTAAGCTGAACCAAAGTTCGGGGTAATCGGTAAATTGGGCTGCTTTTCTATTCACCTTGATCAATAGTAGGAAAAAAAAAGTTTGCAACACAATGTCAAATCTATACAAATGTTTCTAATATAATTGTTGTTATATCTCCTCTTTTTTTGTTTCAACCTCACTGTTCTTTTCAGCATCTGCCTTATTTTCACTGCTATTTTCACAGTTCTTGTTTTGTATTACAGTCGAAAAAGGCGGCTCATCTCCTCCCCAAAAGATCATAATTTCTCCTTCATCAGATAACATAGTGCTTCTAGCATTAGTACTAGTTGAGCTCACCACACTTTCTCTCTGTAATTCAGGTGATTTAGGATCTTTACTATATACCTCATCACTACCGAATAGTCCAAATGACTGTCGCCCTTCTATTTGTTCTTGGGATTCTTGTGATGGAGAAGTAAGATGATGCTGCTGTGATATTTCTTGAGTTTGTGGGCGAGTTGATTCTGTTGATGGTCTTTCTATATCAATACTAGGCAGTATATTATTCGAACCAGTATCAGTTCCAGGTTTAGTCGGACTACCCGGTGCAGATGCTACTGAAGGCGTGCTCAAGAATGATTTTGCTGTTTTTGGAGTGTTAGGACCACTAGTTCCACTGTATGTTGATTGTGAAGAGCTTTTTGAGGAGTCTGAACTGCTGCCATTTGATTTAATTAGATTCAATTGAACAATTGCAGGTTTGGCACGTGTTGCCGTTATTACAGTTGTTGTTGGTATAGTTTTAGTCGCTTGCAAGATTGTACCAACTTCTGAGCTCGGGTCATCATCTTCTACAAAGTTAATTAACGTTTCAGAAGTAGAATTCTTAGGCAATGGACTACTTAGTGGTGTAGTTCCCGCGCTAACTATTGAAGTACGCATTCTACTATGTGCATCTTGGGATGTAATTGATGGCGGTATGTATAAAATTGGAATATCATTTTCAGTATACGCTGAACTGACTTCTTCACTATTATCCAATTTAATGCCTTTACTTTGATATTTTCGTTTGTACAAGAAGTATCCAGCAGCAGCCAAAACCATTAAACCAAGGATACCACAAATCACACCCGGTATTATTTTACTGTTTCCATTATCCACATTGGGACTAGGGGTACTTATTGTGCTATTACAAAATGCTACTGGGCATTTATTACATGTCCTTACGGTGAGAACACAAGTAGTATCCTGCGGACAAGTAGGACATTTTGGAACATCTGAACATACCACACAATCG